TTTTTTTAAATTAAAAAAATAGGAGATTTTTGGTGAAAGTATGAAAATATATTTTCTTAAAATATCGTAATTGGGAATTTTTTTACAAAAATGTCAATGGTAAATTTTGATATACTTTTTAAATATTTATTTTTTAATATTTAAAAGAAAATTTAAGATAACGTAAATTATACATAAATCTCTTATAATTTCTAAACAATCGAAAATAATATAAATCACATATCAACGTTGTAATAAAATGTATAATAAAATTAAAAAATAAATTTAATTTATCAAAATAGTAGTAATAATAATAATAATAATAACTTAAAATTAATTGTATTTAGTGAAATGAATAATATTTAAAAAGAGAAATAAAAATATATTTAAATTAATTGGTAAAGATGATTATTTAATTAAAAAATATTGAATAAACTTGTATTGCATGAGATTCAAGATAATGTTAGTACATAAAGATCTTAACGATTTAAAAAGCATAAAGATATACAATAATATTATAAATCGCTGCAATCAAATAATTATTTAAATTAATTCAATTAATTAATTAATAATTTCATAATTAAAAAAATATATAAACAAATTATATTTGATCAAAACTATTTATTTAATTGATTAAAGTTAAAACATATTAGATTTTTTATCACATAAGGCTTAGATAATGTAAGTATATGTAAATTTTACCAATTTATAAAGAGAAATTATAAGTTAGTGTTATAAATTATAATATTAATTAAATAAAATAATTTTTATTTAATTAATTAATTATGTTTAAATATAAGACAAAATAAAAAATGTTTAAGAAAGTACAATAATAAGAAATAATAACATAATATTATACTTACCCTTTATAGATTATATACTATTATGCTATATGAGTGTTAATTAAATATTTGCATATATCCCAATAAAATACAATATATTTTCTCCACAAGAAAAGGTAACATCATTTTTTTACTTAAAAAAAAAACAACCAACATATTATACACAAAAGGTACAATAAAAATATAAAATTTATATCAACACATTATACACAAAAAGTACAATAAACATGTATAAAATTTATATTAGGTGAATATGTATGCAAAGTAACAACTTAAAAAAAATTTAAATATTTATGAAAGATAAGTATCTAACATATTTATTAAGTAAGTTTAAATTAATGGATTAATCTTTTATTAATTCAAAAATAAAATCTCATAAAAATTTGCATTTATTTAAGCTCTAAAAGAATCATCCTAACTTAGAAATCAAATTATTCAAGGATAATGCACTAAAAATAAAAAGAAAAATAAATAAAAACACTTCGGCAACATCATATTTTCAAAAGGTCATACATTCATTGATCCAAAACAATAAGAAAACGCTATTTACTATGTAAAAAATTATGTCCATCAAAATATCTAATATTTAAGAGTTGGTCAAAGGTAATGATTCTATGTTCCAAATGAAGATTTCTTGTGCATGCAGGCAGAATAATTTTAAATTATAAAATCTAAAACCGTAAAGACTCATTTAAGCTTGTAAATGTATACGAGCTTCAAAAGGATGCACGCTAATGTTTCATGAAACCAAAAATTTAAATGAAATAACAGGAAAGAAGAAAGAAACAACTAACAGTAACTATTGGATTGTGACACAGTAGAATGCGAAAGATATAAAATTATTTCTTTTCTGCTTGAACCACCCTCCAATTTTTTTCAAACTCCTCTTTGGTGTTGCTATCCAATTCAATAATGTTTAATTTCTCTATTGGAAATCAAATTTATTTTATTCCAAATATGTGAAAACCAAACTTTTTATTTCAAAAAATAATTTGTTTCCATTTCTTTTTTTTAAAAATAAATTTAGACTTTTTCTTTTACAGAATAAAACTATAAATATATAAAAACGTTTAGACCAAAAAAAGTAAAAATAAAGAACGAGTATTCACACGCACAAATTACTTCCAATCTTCTTTAACACTTGATTGAGATTTATTTTGATTTCATTATCTCTTATTATAATTTATCTTTGGTTTTCCTGCTGATAGATATATTTTATCTGCTCTAAAATATTGGTGAAGATAGCAATATGCTCTCATAACTATTACGTCGTTTTATACTTAGCTACAAAGAAATCTAACATATGTTACACTCAAGAGCATTGAAACTTATTCCCAACCCCAAATGAATGGTCCTTTTTGCGACTTTTAGCTCACATGTTTAATTTTGATAGTGCACCTTCCCAATGCCATTTGGACTATTGGAGTCGTAGGTATGTCAATCCAAAGTTCTTATATAAAATTATTTAGTATGTTTATAAAAAAAAATTGTGTAAAAAATATATCTAAATCACTATATAAATATCTATATGTATATTGAATAGAAAGTTTCCTTAAAATTAATTAGTGTAAACTATATATATATATATATATATATATATATATATATATATATACGTACCGTTCAAATTTATTATTTTTGCACAGCTATATGGATAACGAAAGCTTCCTTGATCTTGATGTATGATAAAGTTATTACTTAGTATTAAGTGATTTTTCTTTTTCAAATAAAACTTAGTAGTAAGTGTTTAATTGGTGGTGGTTTTCAGATATTTTGATTTTGGATGGTGTATGCACAAAATTATGAATATATGTACTTTTTATTTTGATTTTTTTTAACGAGAAGTGCATATTAAAAGTTAAAAATATGTATTATCATAAAATTATAAAAAATAATATAATTTTTATAATAATCTAAAATATTTAATAAATTATATTGAATACTTCTTAATATATTTTCTTAAGCATATATTAAAAAAATGTTTTATTTCAATCAGATAAAACAGAGTAGGGTGCTAAAATTTATGCACATGTTCGTAGATGGGGTAAGGACCATAATTTTCACATGGTATAAAATCTTATTTAGTGCCAACTCCTGCTTTTAAGAGTTTATACAATTGTACCATTCATAAGTTGAAGCAATCGTGTCTAATCTATTTACGTCAGGTCCCAGGTGGTACCAATAAAACTTTTCTTATTAAATTACTTAACGAATGAAAATTATTTTTTAAAATGAGTTAAAAATAAAAAATGTAAAATATTTTAATAATAATATTAAAATTTAATTTAGTAATATTTTATCATAATATTTTTAATTTTTATATTATATAAATATTGTTTAATGTTAAAATTACTAAAATAAAAAATATTAGTTCAATTTGAATAAATTTATCAATAAATATTTATAATAGTTAAAAATTAAGTAATAAAATACATGAAAATCACCTTATAAATAAAAAACGTTTCTCGATTTTTAGAATCTTTTTAATTTAACTTTTATAAAATTAAAAAATATATAAAAATTTATTTTAATTTATAAAAAAATATTTATTTATATGTATATAATTTTTAATACTTTTTCAAAAGTTTACTCAATTTGCATCATTCTTGTTTTTCTCCTTCGTTTTCCTAATAGACGGTACACTTGTAACAGGGTTTGACTAGCAAAGTTTGCCACTATTTTAAACATTTGCAACATTTTAAATATAAAATTAAGTAGTAGGAGACTCCAAGAAATCTTCATAGTTGTATGTATGTTTTGCACAACCATGCAGTGTGTATTATGGAGTTGATTCTAACATCAGCTTATGCCTTTTGGCTGCAAAAAGACTAGAATTAATGTTAGTATTCAACATTTGACAAATATATAGAACTCTCATCACCATGAAAATATCCTTATCTGGTTATATGTTTTAACTCCTAATCAATTAAAAACAGTGAATTGTCAATAAAAAGAGAAACAATAATGTTGTGTTGTGAAAGAGTCATTGTCTCTGAAAATATTTCAATAGGGCTTTTGTATAACCACTTGCCTCCCATAATTAACATAAGAGATACAACTCATACACTTAAAAGACTAAGACATGTTGGAGTCTCAATCAAAATCATGTCAAAGACAAAAGAAGAAAACGAGTGAAGGAAGTGGCAGTGAGGTTTTCTATCCAATAGGTAAAGCACTATTTTTTCAGTTGTTAAAAAAGTTTAACCATAACAAAGAATGAATTAGAAAAAGTAGATTGTTATATTATGAGATAGGTATGCATAAGTAAATCGATGATGGAGATGATGTGTTTGTAGGCATGTGGATGCATGAAGAGCAGCACATTTATGGATCCATTGAAAGATTTAAATAAAATTATTGGTAAATACAATTCACTTTAGTCTTTCATAATCATTGGACCAACTCATGCAGGCATTCACTCCTCCCTAACCAACCCCTTCTTTACTCTCATTTACGCACTTGCAACCGTAACTTTGGGCAAAGCTTCACATTCATTCAATGGAAAAAGCCCTTCAACATGTAATTGCAGGACACGCGTCATGCATCCACCATTTCTTTGCCACGCAGGTTAACTTGCTTAATTAACCAAGATTGCCTCAAATTTTATACCACTTGCATTTTTCAGTTTCAGGAGCACTGCCAATACAATATTTTTAATTATTATTTAAATTTTATTAAAATTATAAGAATTTAAATTAGAATTTTTTATTTTAAGAGTAAGATTTATATTTTTAATAATAACTAAGAGTATGTTATAAATTAAAAATGTCTAGATTAGCTCTTAATTAATTTAAGTTAGTATCAAAAAATTTATCATATAAAAGGTTTATAAGATTAAAAAGCTCACAAAATAAGTGAATTAAAACTGACTTATAAATCAATAAGCTTTTAAAAAAAAATATTATAACCTATTAAAATGTATATAACATATTTAATTAACATAATTAATTTTAAATTAACATCAAATAGAGTTTAAAAAAGAAATATCCAATTTGAAATAATTCTGCCCTTCCAACCCCAATCACTTCAACCCTTAACCGATTTCCCTCATTATAAATACGCGACTTTGAGATAACACTTTTTGGGTACACACAAGAACCATTAAAGCTTCTATCCATAAAAGGCAACTTTCACAATAAGACAACATAAGAAATACATATATAAAAAAAATTGCAAGGAACAGCGAAACAACGTTTGATTTTTATCAGACATGGTTTGCTTCTGTTTCTTGGTGGATCAGAGAAGGAAGGTGCGGCGGAGCAAGCCAGCGGCGGGAAGCTGCTCGCGGTGCGGCGGCGGAGCCAGTGTGGCAGATATGATGACACAAACCAGATTTTGCTACGTTCCCTTTTACTCCAAATCTTGGAGAGCTGTTATATGCACTTTTTGCGGAGCCATTCTCAAGTCTTACAGATGAGCACTGCCATGTTCTATATGAACACCTTCCTTCTTTTCAGCTCTTAATTTTCCTTCTACCATCTTATTATTATGATTTTCAATTTGTGAGACACACACACATATATACACAAACGCATATTTAGATTGTAGGGGTATTTTAAGTTTATTTGTTTCATGTTTTTGTATCGAGTTGTGGATATATATGTTTAATATATGTTTAAATTTATTTTTTTACAATTTTAAGGTACATAATATATTGAATTCTTCTGTGCTGTTGATTTCTTGTGTCTTCTGTTTGGTTCCTCTTTGTGTGAAAGCCATGTTTCAGATACTTCTGTACTGTATCAAGTAATAGCTATAAATTCGAGGTGTATTTGATCACTTATACAGATTATTATTATTATTATTGTTATTATTTATCATTTTAATAACATTTATAATGTTATAAGTGAAGTGGCATCTAAAAGTTAATTCAATTTTTCTTATACAGATTATCCGGTTTCAGTAAATATTGTTTTTCATTGTAGGGAAAAGAAAAAGTGACGTCTTGGATTGTCTTTTTCTTAGGCGATGATGATTTTCACTCGCCATCATGTCAGCTTCTTTCTTAACTGTTAGATGGAAAACCTTTATTGGTCCCTTGTTTCTGGAATTGGGTGTTGTGTATTACTCCATCCTCCTTATTTAGACGTCTCATTTAAGCAATTATTACCACAAATATATTGGAGAATAATGGCTAGCATATCTAATTGGTGTTTTCTCTGGTGTTCCACCTTTTGTGATAACATTAATACTCTTTTTTATGTAAATTAATTATATAAAGTCACATTTTTGTCTAACTATGCATATATGGTCTTCTTTTTTTTCAGAGAAGTACTTCAAATTTTATTTAGTTAATTTAAAAATTTAATTATTCTAATAATAAATTTGTGAAATTTAACTAAACTTAAGCTTTTTAATAAGTTTTTATTGATGTTAATATGTTAGAAAGTCATTGAAAATTCTGCAGAAAGAACTTGGAGAAAACAATCTTAATCTTATTTAAAAGGTTTATTTGAATGTAAAATTAATTCTTTTCAATACAGATAGCAGGGTGATGCAACTGTATTACACTTTAAAAGGTTTATTTGAATGTAAAAGGTTTTAGTCATCGGTAATTTTTTTAAACCATGAGCATGAGAATGAATACCATAATACCCTACTGCCCTACTCATCGTTCTAAAAGTGTAAGTTTGTTTTTCAAAGTTATGTTTGTTTAAATTTTTAGATAAAGTAGTTTTTTTTTTAATTTGTTATCTTAAATTTGAAAATTATTAAAATAATTTATTGGATATTTAAACTTTTTAAAGAAACACGTAGCTATTATATTTATATATTTGTTTTGGTCAAGTGTATTTTCTAATTTATACCTGTTTGCATTGCTTAATGGGCTTAGGTAGAGAGAATTTGGGCTCAATAACCAGTCATCTTAACAGGCTTATAGCTTTCTCATACTCCTAACTAGTGGGCGGTGGGCCTGAGACCTAAATGACGCTTGCTTTCTAACTGAAATGAAAATCCTCCTTCAACAAAAAATATAAATAAAATAAAATCCTTCTTCCCTTAAATAAATAGCATAGTGTGATGGCCCAAAATAAAATAAAATAAAATAAAAAACATAGAATAGGGGCAGATTACGGAAATATTATTTTATTTTTTGTATTTGCTAGTTGAATTTTAAATTTTAAAAAATTATATATAACAAAACAATGGTCAGAGAAAAAGTATTTAGTTTGTTATTTAAAAAAAAATTGTTTATTTTTGGTGTAAAACTGATTGTTTGTTTACTTTCTTTAAATTTTGAATCACTCACGTTAGGCTTGAGTGAAAAAAACCGTAAAGGTTATTATATATATATATAAACAAATAATCAAACACTCCATAAGTTGATATATTAGTTTTATGAATCATATTTATAATTAAAAGTATAGAGATATTAAACTTGACTATGGTGAAATAACAAGTGAAAAGGGTGGTGGAAACAGTCCATTTGGGATTTGTCCTTTTAATTAGAAAGCAATAAAGGAAAAATGAAAGGGAATCAACACCTTCGTTCACGGGACGGTGTCAACGTCAATGACGGTGTGGTGCTAGCTGTGTCAAATTGCAGTTGTGTTCACCTACACTTTTTATTTCTTTCAACCCCCAATTTGGCTTTAAATTCTTTTGCTTTTTTATAAGTTATTAATCTAATTTGAAGTTTGAATGTTGTTGTTAAGAATATTCATTTATTTTAATGTGTAATTTTTAAAATATTACTAAATATAAAATTTTGAATAATATAATTACAAATGTTTAAATTGTATAAAACTTAATATAAATAATTATACAACTAATAAAAATAATTTAATAATTAAATTAATCAATTTTATATTTTATAAAAAATAAAGTAATATAAATTTTAAATTTAACACCTAATATAAATGAATTTGACTAATTTATTATACTATCATATCATCTTATATATAATCCACTAAACACTAAACCAGCCCATAGTTCTTTAAGAATTGGAAGCTGCGGTTGAAAACCAACATCATCAAAATGGGGATGTTTTGGAAATCCAGACCCAACACCATAGTCGGGTCCTGTCTCTTCATGTGTTGTCACTTCGTCCCCAGATTTCGTTTATCTAGGATTTTTATAGAATAAATAATTCTATCCATCTTAAATGTAATAATAAAATAATTATGATATTGTATTTAAAAAATTATAATATATTTAAAAATCATAATATTTTATTACCATTACAAAGAACTGACTGTTTTCAAAGAAAAATAATCTGTTAACAACTTAAAATGGGATAAAAAATAGACAGAAAAATGACGAGATAAATAAAAAAATATTTACGGATAATATCATAGTTATCAAAATTAGTCATGTAATCGATTCTGTCAGCTCAGAAAATCGGGGGAGCATAAATCAATAATGAACCAATAAAAAATGGGCCAAAATTATTGAAAACATGAGTAACAATAGATGTTAATAACCGCTTTGAACTGATCGGATTAAATTTTTTATTTTTTATTCTAAAATATTTTTAAATAAATAAAAACTCATATATGATATATATATATATATATATATATATAGATTTATTATTATATAAGTGTATTATTATAATTTTTATCTTATAAAATATATAATGTGATCTTATACTATTTTTGAAATTTAAATTAATTTACTATTTATAATTTTATATGTTATATGATATTAGAAATATATATTTTATTATTACCGGTCTTACTTTAGTTCAACTGTAGTTAAATTAACAAATCATCATTAGTTTAATAATATTTGATTTTAAAAAATTAGATAATATGCTGAAAATTTTATAAAAGTATAAATACAGCGAGATGTTGACGAGCAAAGGCGAGGCGACGTGGCCTTACGCGGCGGTTTCTAAACAATGTGAATGCATTAAGGGACACACATATTATGGTTGTCCAAAAATGTCCCACGTATGTACGATGTGTTACGTCTCTTTCACATCTGTTCAGGTTAAGAAATAAGTGGATAATTGTTTAGATAATAAATTTTTTTATAAATTATTTATTTTTAATTTATAGAAAATATATATAAATTATTTAATATATTTCTAATTTATAAAAATAAAGAAGAGAGAGAAAAAAATAATTAATAAAATAAATTAAAAATATTTTAAAAAAGATAGTTATTATATATTTTTAATTTATTTATTAAATAAGACACTGTTCAGTTATTATAAAAAAAATAACTCAAACACTGACACTCACACCTTTTCAACTTAACCTAAAAATAAATATTTTTCTAATCATATTAAAATAAATTAATAAAATTAATTAAAAATTAATAATTGATAAGAAAATAATTAATTATTTAAGTAATTAAAAGATGAAAATAAAATTGAATTGTGAAATTCATTAGCTCAATATCATGTCTATAAAAAAAAATATAAATAAAAGAGTCAACTTCAAAATATAAAATAATATTTATTATCCTATATTGAACATTAACTTTATCATTAGAATATCTTTATAAATATTCTCCCCTTATCACTATAGAGGAAAATAAGAAATATTTTACAAAAAAATCATAGCAGTGAACTAAAAAAGTGACTAAAAAAATAAATGTATCCTTAGCATGAATAATACTAATTTAATAAAATATAAAAAATAATATAATAAATTAATTATACGCTTATAGCTAAACAAACATTTAATTAAATACATATAATAATTATCCTATCAATCCTTATTCTTACCGCTAATTATACAGTGAGTATACAAGTTTAGAATCACACGTATGAAACGTTTAAACAGTTTTTAAGAAATGTTTATTGAGAGTAAAGGTTTTTGCTTGGAGTCAACCTACATTGAAACATGATTCTAAACAGGCTAAAAATCTGCTTGATAAAGTGAGCTTAATGATTGTATCCAAAATGGTAAAAATTGACTGGAAAACCTCAAAAAGGTAAACTTTCAAATTAATGACTTCATAGTTTATTCTTACAGGGACTACTATTCTTGCCAAAAAAAAATTTATATTATGTATACATACACAAGACAAGTCGAGTCAATTAGATTATCGATAATTAACTAAATATTAAGCAAATGTATACAGGAAATTCCTGTGCTTAATTTCTCACAAGAAGGAGAGGGATGTCGCTACACACGATTAAGGCTTAACGAGACAAAATCTTTTGGTAGAAAAAGACAATTTTTTTTTTATAGAGATATATAAAATTTCAAAACTAGAAGTAAAATAAAAGAAAATCTTTGTCACGCATTTAGGGTGTATATGCCTCATTTAGAAAGATAGATTAAAAAGTGTAACCGATCATAATACAATAAGTAAGAAAGAAATAATTTTTTTTAACGTATATTTAATGATATACAATAAAAAATTATAGTAATTTTTTTAATTAAAAACAATAAAGTATTTCAAAATTTAACGCATAACTATTATTATATATTATAATATAATATTTTAATAATTTTTTTTTATCTTCTTAACATGTGTAATTGGATAATTTTAAAAAATCAATAAAAGAATAATAACAATAATAAAATATTGTAAAAACAAATATCTCATAATTGTTAAAAAAAGATATGCATGAAAAAAAATATAAAATAATATTTTGATAATTTTATTATTTAGATATTAAATAATTGAAATTATATATAACATTATATTTATTTTTCATATATACGTATACATAAACTTTTTTCCCATAATTTACTCTAAACAAGCCTTCTACATATGGGGAAAAGTTAACTGATCTGTGTTCAGAGTGTGATGAGTGATATCAATTCCTTCGACTCCTGCCCCTTCTGCAGCTTGAAGCTGCGTTGAAGCGGGTCCCCTTTATCATTGAACCAGCACAACAACCATTTCCTTCAAGCAACGTTCTTTTGTTTTTCCCTTTTTCCCCCAATAAACTTCAAAATTATTATCATATTATAAACATAACCATTTTTAAGGAGTTGTAGACCTCAGTTCCTGAACTTCAATCGTGTTATTTTTAATAATTACTCAGTTTGTTTCAAAGATTCTGAATTTTAAAAAATACACCATGAATTCTTCAAATCACAGCTGGGTTCTATAGGAATAAAGAGTTTGAATTTTGAAGTTTTATTAACACTATTTTACTTTTCTTTTCTTTTCTATTTGTGGGGTCCTAATTGACAGGCTAATCAACAGTCTGGAAAAGGGTGTTTGCATTGCGGCAAAATAAAAAGCTCAACTTTATGGGATTTCAGTAATGGGTTTCACGTAATCTAAATTGGGTCTCATTCTGTTTCATCTTTTCAGCTCTGTTGATTTTGGCAGTAGCAGGTTTATTCACATTTTGTTCCCTCCATAACCACAACCCAAAGGTAAGTACCCCAAGATAACTCATTTTCCTCAGTGTATGTGTCACAGAATCCTAGTAAACTAGATTAAAGAGTAAAGTTGTGTGTCTTTGTGTTGCGTTGTGATATTAGAATCATGGTATTTTGTCTGTTTCTTGTAACGGAAATGTCTGATTCTATGCATTGAATTTGATAGATCCGAGGTTGTTGTGGCTTGGGATTGGGAGTTGAGATTATTGGGTGCTTTCTGCTTACAATTAAGTTTATGGATTGGTGAAACTACAATGGTGATGATGAAACTTGCAAAGTTGGTTTCCTTTGTTTTGGTTGTGTATTTGTTTTTGGTGAATGAGTCGTTTGCTGCATACACTCCTCCTGATAATTATCTAATTGCTTGTGGTTCATCCCAAAGCATCACTTTCCAAGATCGCACTTTTGTTCCTGATTCACAACATTCATCGCTGGTGTTGAAAACCGGGAATTCTATTGTTGCTCGTTCCAATTCTAGTGTTCCAATCCCACTATACCAATCAGCTAGGATTTTCACTGAGAAAGCTTCTTATAGATTTGAAGTTGAGGAAGGTAGGCACTGGCTCCGGCTATATTTTTCTCCTCTTCCCAATTCTGACCATAATTTGACTGCTGCTGCTATAACAGTGGTTACTGATGATTTTGTTCTTTTGTGCAACTTCACCTTTAAGAACTACAAGGGTTCTTATTTGTTTAGAGAGTATGCAATCAATGTTACATCTGATACCTTGACTGTAACCTTTATTCCTTCAAATGATTCAGTAGCCTTTGTTAATGCAATTGAAGTTGTGTCAATGCCAAATGACTTGTTTGTTGATCAGGCATTAGCCCTTAACCCAACAGCACCATTCAATGGGCTTTCTGAGCTTGCTTTTGAGACTGTTTACCGGTTAAATATAGGAGGTCCTTTGCTCACTTCCCAAAATGATACCCTGGGAAGAACTTGGGAGAATGATCAGAAATATCTCCGCGTGAACAACTCAGTCATTGATGTGTCAGTCAACCCTTCAAGCATTAAGTATCCGGCTGGTGTTACACCTGAGATTGCACCGAATTGGGTCTATGCCACTTCTGAAGCAATGGGGGATGCAAATGTGGCCAATTCAAATTTCAACATTACTTGGGTCTTTACAGTGGATCCAAACTTCTCCTACTTTATTAGGGTGCACTTTTGTGATATTATTAGCATGTCTCTCGATACTTTAGTGTTCAATTTATTCATAAATTCTGACATAGCTATTGGAAGCCTTGACCTCTCATCCCTAACTAATGATTTGGCTGTGCCTTATTATAAGGACTTTGTTTCCAATGCCTCCGCAGACTCAAACACTTTGACAGTAAGTGTTGGTCCTGATACAATGGCAGATATCACAAATGCTACTATGAATGGACTGGAGATAATAAAGATCAGCAATGCATTCAAGAGCTTGGATGGACTTTCTTCAGTTGAAAGTTTTCTTCCTAGGTCACCATCAAACAAGAGGAAGATAGGAATAATAGTTGGTTCTTCCATTGGAGCTGTGGCTATGATGGCTTTGGTTGGTTTGTGTTATTTGTGCTTGGTGAGGTGCAAATCAAAGTCTACTCAAGAGGGCCATTCTTGGCTGGCTTTACCCTTATATGGAAACTCTCAGACCATGACAAAAGTGTCGACAACTTCACAGAAGAGTGGAACTGCAAGCTTCATTTCCTTAGCTTCAACAAATTTTGGACGGTTATTCACTTTCCAAGAAATCCTAGATGCAACCAACAAATTTGATGAGAAGCTGCTTCTTGGTGTTGGTGGTTTTGGAAGGGTTTATAAGGGAACACTTGATGATGGGACTAATTTAGCTGTTAAAAGGGGAAACCCAAGATCTGAACAAGGCCTTGCTGAATTCAGAACAGAAATTGAAATGTTATCAAAGCTTCGCCATCGTCATCTTGTGTCTCTCATTGGTTACTGTGATGAGAGGTCTGAAATGATTCTTGTCTATGAATACATGGCTAATGGACCCCTCAGGAGTCATTTGTATGGATCAAGCCTACCACCTCTATCATGGAAGCAACGGCTTGAAATTTGTATTGGAGCAGCAAGAGGCCTTCATTATCTCCACACAGGTGCATCTCAAAGCATAATTCACAGAGATGTAAAGACAACAAACATTCTCTTAGATGATAACTTTGTTGCTAAAGTTGCTGACTTTGGCCTCTCCAAAACTGGTCCTGCCCTTGACCAAACACATGTAAGCACTGCAGTTAAAGGTAGCTTTGGTTATCTTGATCCTGAATACTTTAGAAGGCAACAACTTACAGAAAAATCAGATGTTTATTCATTTGGAGTAGTTTTAATGGAAGTGTTATGCACAAGACCAGCCTTGAATCCTGTTCTTCCTAGAGAACAAGTTAATATAGCTGAGTGGGCAATGAGTTGGCAGAAGAAAGGGATGCTTGATCAAATCATGGATCAAAATCTGGTGGGAAAAGTCAATCCTTCTTCTCTGAAGAAGTTTGGTGAAACAGCTGAGAAATGCTTGGCTGAGTATGGAGCTGACAGGCCATCTATGGGAGATGTTTTGTGGAATCTTGAATATGCTTTGCAGCTCCAAGAAACCTCATTAGCACTCATGGAACCTGAAGATAACAGCACAAACCACATTATTGGAATTCAGTTGACTCCTCTTGAGCATTTTGATAACAGCACGAGTATGATTGATGGAGGAAACTCTGGCACAGATGAAGATGCTGAAGATGCTGCCACAAGTGCAGTGTTCTCACAATTGGTGAATCCTCGTGGAAGATGAGTTTTTTTCATGTATCCTTGATTCTTGCCACGGACCATTAAATAGAGTGGCTGTTCTGGCCTTGGACTAATTTAAAAGTCTCGATTGATGAATGAATGTTACTTTCCATTTCGTTATTTCTTTGGTCATCCTTTTTTTTTACCACAAGCAAGTTACTATGTAATATTTGCCAATTAGCTGGTTAGAAATTGTATGTAAGGTGTCCATAAGATTCTGTTGTATTTTATATTAGTGAATCAGGAGTTCAGCTCCAACAATTGTTACAAGTTACAATAAATTCCTTCAGAAAATGAATAAACTAAATTCTGATAAATTGGCTTGCTTTACTTTTTCCATTTCTAGTAAATCTCGACTAGTGCTGGAAGTCCTCTGGCAGCTCCAATGCCAATTTCAAGTTGTTGCTTCCAAGAGATTGGTGCCACACTTGGTTCATAAAGCCACTGCTTCCAAGAGTGGTACCACACTTAGTTCATAAATCCATTTGCTTAGTGTGTCTTTGGATTCATATTAGAAGACTTGTAAATATCGATCCAAGGCAGAAATTACTAGTACTTGTTTTGAAATAAATGTGGATTTGAAGACATTTAAACGTGAATCTAAACACGCTATTAAAGGTCTATTAGCCATGTACTCGTACATTATATTCTATCCCTCCATGACTGTAGCCGATAAGAGACACAATATGGCAGTGTTGCAGTTTAGATAATAAGTCAATCTCATTTTGAAACTCAGCCACACCATGTATTGATCGAATGGTAGCTCTTTTAACTGCTACTTTTGTCCCGTTTTCTTCATGTTTTCCCTCGTAGACCTTCTCAAACCCACCACTGCCAAGAAGAAAATCCTCTTGGAAATTGTTGGTTGCTTCTTGGACCTCTTGGAATGTAAAGATCCTACAAGTACAATAATTCTTTATTGACAATTCACCAACAGGGCCATTGTCTTGAGAAGTTCTTTTGGACTTGCCAGCTACCAAATATAACAAAGTGAACCAAACAATACTACACGACGATAGCGCCAGCAACATAGCCCACAACTAGTGCTGTGTTCCTTATTTTAGAAGCAGATTTGGAAGGACATGCTCATCACAGGAAAGCCCATGTTGAGAATAAGAACTAATTTTTCACTCGTTTAGTTTATTAGAAACTAAATTTTATTAAAAGGATTTTTAGAGACTAATTCTAAACGCAATAATTTTTTTATGCATTTAGATATATAACTTAAGTGTTTATTCAATAAACATTTTCTATATGTATTTATGTTGTAAATTTAATTATAAAATTAATAGATAAGATAAAAATTAACATTTTAATAGGTTTTTGTATAAAAAAATTATTAAAATAAATTAAAAAGAGCTTATAGAAATCATAAATTATTTCTAGGTTATTTATATGATCTTCCAAAAGGACCCTTTCTAGGGACCAAAAATTTATTGAAATCTTCCTTTTAAAATATTTTGAAACATTGTGAATTGATTAGGATAAAGATTTATACATAATAGTGTTCAATTATAATTCTACCTTTCAAATAAAATATCAAATATTTAAATTGTTTGCAACACACACACATCTTAACATGGTAATAAATGTCAATTAGAATATTAATAGTAAGAGTTCACACTACACTGGGCAACTGAGCATACAAATAGAGGCAACTAGAGTGTGGAGTCATTATTTCAAACAGGCAAGGTTTCAGATGTTCACCTTTGCCACACATCTTAACACGGTAATAAATGATATCTAGTTTTCATTTCTTGCAAACAATTCCCAACCCATATGAAAACTCGGTGCAATCAAGGGTGCCATATTGTACCACTTGGGGGGTCTCTTTCTCAAATGAACTTCCCTGCGAGAACACACAAGAAGCACAATTTGGAGAAAGCAAGGAGGTAGTCCTATAGCTGTCTTCTCCACCAACAACAGGCATTGCCACACCAACCTTTGCTGGGTTCTCAAAATCCAACCTATAAGTCCTCCCAAGCACACCATCAACTTTTGGAGACAAAGCAAAGAACCTAAACTGAACTTCCAAATGAGCAAAACAATCATCAAAAGGTACTTGGTAGTTATGAATTCTATCATCTTCTTTAGTTACTGGCACAACATTAACCAATATTTCAGCCACATCTTTCAATGTAACAATGACACTATTCTTGCTTGCTATTCTCTCCACTTTGACATCTTTTTCTAGAGAGTACCAAGTGGAGAGAGAACCTTCAGCTAGGACTACATTGTTCCCATTATGGGTGAGTTTCAGACGGTCAACATTCTCATCCCATTGGGCTGTTTTGGTGGCCTCAAGTGAGAAAGTTTGGGAATTGATGAGGATTCCAAGGGCTTGAATCCAAGTGTAGTCACGGGCTCTACCACTAGGCCTGTGTCCAATGAAGCGAGCATTGATTTGAAGGTTGGAATCAGAAACTAAGGTGAAATGTTCATTGCTCTTTCCGTGGAAGTAGAAGACTCTACCATCTCCACCGATGAAACGGGGATCATAGCATCCTGATCCTGGTGCATTGCAGTTTGGCTTGCGATCTAAACACCATAAAAGTGATAAAGCCAATTTCATTAATTATGTTGTTTGTTTCTAATACAGGACTTAACCCCCCATGAGGCCATTTTACTTGACAAGAAGTTCAGTTTTGGATTAAGGATTAAAGTGAATTCACAGTCCTAACTCTTGGATTAACGTGATGATTTACTTCAAAACACGTATTAGATGGTTAATTAATGAACAGTTTAATTATTAACACTATAAAAAAATATCATTTATTAGTAAAAAGAAATTATAAAACATTAGGATATCTTTCGTTACTACAACCTTCACCTAACAAAAAAGTAATATGATATATATAGTATTTACAACAATAGTATGATTACTACTATTATTATATGTATTATTATACACAATAGTATTTTATACCAATAAAATTATTTGTTTATATAATATATTATATTTGGAGAAATACTAGAAACATATTTTCCTACATACTTTTTTTAATATAAATTTATTTATTAAATAAAATTTATTAAAAATTACTAAAAATATCGTGAGTCTCACTTTTAGATTTTTTTTTTTTTTGCATATTTTTGTAATTTTTAATAAAATTTAACAAATAGTTAAGAGTGTGTTAAAATAAGAATATTAGAGAGTGTTATTAGTATTTTTCTTATATTTTTAATATACTAATAATATAGTTTTTGTCATAAAATTATATTAAGAAATTAAGAAAGGCTAACTTACGTCTGCAGACAGCCTTGCAAATAGGTTTGTTGCAATCTATGTGGCAAACCTTAGCCTTAGGATCTGATGCTTCACTGTTGGGGCATTCATCTGGACACTTGATGTTCTTTCCATGGCATCTGGTTCCTTTGGTGCCACAGTGCAGGTCATGATATGCCTTGGCATGGGTCAAATTTGAGACAAAGACTAGCAGAATGATTATGATGGAACTACTTTTGTTGATCTCCATTCTTGAATAATGATATCTGTTAGTGAAATATAGGAATCATTCACAGAGATGGAGCCAATTGATGTAGCACCAATATCTTCCCCGGCTATTTATAGATGTATGTTCCATAGGGTTGCTTCATTATTATGAAGGTAGCATTTGCAAACTTGTAGTATAATCTAATGCTAACTAAACTCAAAGTAAGAACATGGGGTTCCGCTGATTTAATGCAGAATTTCAAAATGATTCATATAATTACTTTTTCTTCTAGCAGTGTACATCTCATGAAGGTGATTTCTGATGCCTTCAACTGCAAAATTGGTGGCTGGAATTGTGTTAATATTTGTGAATTAAATTAAAATAATATTTTAAAATAAATAATTAAAAATATATTTTATAATTATTTTAAAATTTAATAACATAAAATTTAAATTTAAAAATAAATTATAAAAATTAAAAATTTTAAAGATAATGAATTAAAACAAAGACTTGACGTGATAAGTAATATAACTAATTTTTGAAAATATTTTCATTTTAAAAAATCTCTAAAAATGCTCTCATTTAAAAATGTATACTCATAAAATATGTTTAGAAATTTAATAACTAACTGAGTATATATGAATTATTGATAGGGGAAACGCTTATGCATTAGGTAAAGTTGATATCTTGAGAATGAAAAGAACAATTATCTGATATAGTGTGACAATTCATACAATGTTTGGGATTTTTTTTTTCCTATGATGTGTTTGAGGTGCACGTTTTGTGCCCCAAAATTTTAGGTTATGAATGGTATTAGGATAGCATAAGACATGTTAATATATTGATGCTTTTGATAGGTCAACGCTTCAAGCTTTGTTGTAACTTGTAAGCTTACGTGACTTACAATGTCTCAATTCCTTGTCAAACATGAAGAGATAGGAATTAATTAGATAAAAGAGATATATTATATCCTCTCTCGAATTATTCTTTCAATAAAAATTATTAGGCAAAAAAGTAAACGTAAAATGTATTTAGCATTTTTTTATATTTATAATTTTTTAAAAAAATATTTAAGATGAAAATATTGTATCGAAGCAAGCTACCCCAAGAAGGCAGGTTGGATTTAACTTTAGCATGAATAATAAAAAGTGATACATTAATTTCTTTAACTTTGGGTAATCTACTAAACTTAACTATGTAAAAAGCAGCACATACAACATGCAGCAGAATTATTATTATTTAAATATAAAGTAACTTGAATGTTTATTAATTTATTTGTTTTTACAAGTTTATATTTAAAATTATGATCTCTCTTCAATTTTCAAATTTTAAATGATTGGTAACGGTTTATAATAAGTTCGTTGGTGAGTAGATTTTCATATATTTTTTTAACATTAAATACCCTGTTTTTGGTTATATAATTTATTATGATGTTTCATTTTAGGTTTCATCATATTTTTAATATCGTACTTTAATTTATAATCAAATTTAAGTTTTCTTAATTTGAACTTCATACTTTTTTAACTGTTAAAATTTAAATTATTATTTCAAATTTTATTTAATAATTAATAAAAATATAAAAAATATGGTATACAATTAATTTGTATACATTGACAAAGCAAAAATATATAAAATAATTAAAATAAAATTGATATTATAATTAATGTAATAAAATCAGTTTTTATTTTTATTTTATATATTTTTCTTTATCAATTTAAATAAATCAATTCTGTATTACTTATTTGTTGCATTTTTATTAATTATGAAACATAATTTCAGTCAGGGTAAGAAACCATTGGGTGAATTCATGACTAAATTTTTTGTTGGTAATTAAGTAAAGTCCTCTATAAAATGACCATTTTGATATTTAAATACTTGACTTGACACATAAAATTCATCTTGAATTATACTTTATTTCTAAAATTCTATTGCAATCAAGCATTGTTTGGTAAACACAAGTCATCCTTATTGTTAATTTGATGCATAACTTTTTTTTTTTTAATCTTTTAAGGAAATGTTGCATACTAGACAAATCAAACTAGATTTGGGCCTAGCTTACAAAAAAGTTGGGCCTTAACAAAAATATATTCACGACTTACATTTTGGACAAAGAACAGCTAAACGTTTTAAATAGAAATAAAAAGGCCGAATACGATCCAAAAAAAGACACTGTTAAACGTTTTTGGACTCACGTCTAAGGGTCTAAATAATCGGAGAATAAAAAACAAACTAGTCAAGTCAACCCTGCTTCGTCAAAATAATACTTGAATATTAGAAAATTGAATGTTGGTATTTGGATATTAAGAGTTAAGACTCATATTCTCGTCATGTACGTTAAGATTACCATTTATGATATTCAAAATATTTCATTTTAGAATTTACAAGTCAAATCCCTATACAAAATAATGTTATAATAATTAAAGTACTTAAAATATTTCAAATAAAAATGTGTGAACCAACAAAAAAGAAATTCAACTATTACAATAAACCGTGAAATTTAGACAGTACTGTTATAAAAAGTTTAATTTTGTTAAAGTTAATTAATTGTAAGAATGTAATCAAATTATTATTTTTATATATTTAAAAAGTGTATATTATGTTAATTTAATATATTTGAATGAAATATTAAATAATTTTAAAATAATGTACAAATTTACAGATATATAAAAAATAATTTTAATTCAACAGTTATTTTTAAAATAAAATTATACCATAAAAATTATTTAATGATAAATTTTATTCTAAGATTAAAATGTTCTTCAAATAATATAAACGAGAGGATATCCAATAATCTTATTTATGAAATCATATTTTTGAAATACATTTTTTTTATTTAAAATTTCATCATTTTTAATTAAACCGTAAAATACCACCGATACTTGTTGGTTTTTAAAATAATAAAGAGATTAATTTTATTTAAATAAAATAAGAATATATAAATTATTCTATTTAGTCATATAGTTTTTATTAAAATTAAATATAATAACATATTGAATTATTTTTATTTTATATATTTTAATATGATATATAACGTTCAATTAAGCCATAAATAATTTTAAATTTATATAAATTTTTATTAATATAATTTATATGATAAATTTTGTAAAATATAAATTAAAAAATGTAAAAATATTCTTTGCTTACGGAACCGAAGCTCCTCGTATATAACAATCTGCACTGTTAAAACGTTTTCATTTCCTCTGGCATCTTCTCGTGCCTTCTTTTGCTGTGTATCTTAGAATCATTAATCGGCTCAGCTCCCAAGCATGGTGGTCGCGGCTCGTCGAGCCACCAATATGGCTCGGTTCCCCTCACCAACAACGGCTTCCTTCCTTCATCGGCGGGGCATGGCTGGGGGCGCCGGTATTTTCCCTCTCTGCTTAGCTTATGCTTGCATGTGTTCATTGCCGCAAAGGGTTTCCCATATTAACAATTAATTGCTGAAAAGTTCAAATCTTTTAATTTAATTTACTCGGCCAAGTAAAATGGACTTCAATGGAGGGTTGCAATTTTGAAGCATGAACCTTTTTGTGTCCAAATTTAATGCCATTTTAGGATATGCTTTTGTGGTTTTGTTGTTTCCAATGATATTTCTCAACAAGTTGATTCTAAAATAGCGTGCACAATTTCATGTTGTTGTTCGGGTGATAGTGGAAAAGATGACATAAAATAGTAAAGTTGGTTTGGTTATATGCAAAGAAAGTTAGGCGCCAACGTTTTTAGTTCGACAGAGAGACACCAATAATATTTGTCAACAAGGTGATTCTAAAATAGCATGCATAATTTCATATTCTTGTTTTGGTGATAGTGGAAAAGATGATAGAAAATAGTTAATGTGGTTTGATTACGTGTAAATAAGGTCACTAAAGGTACCAACGAGGAGAGTAAATGTCATAACTTTTACATTGATAAAAAGAAATAAAGAGACTAAAATAAAAAACAAAACTTTAGAGGATATTATTAAAAAAATCTATTGATAAATAATATTTTTCATAATTTAATTTTTGACCAAATTTCACAATCTTGTGATTCATGTAACTGATTTCACCTTGTGGGATAAGGTTTAGTTGTTGTTATTGTCAATGTTATGATATTATTACACTATGTACTGTGAAAATGTTCGTGATATATTTGTCTGTCCTTAATTATGTGTATGGTTAGATATATTTGTCTTTTAGAGGAGTGTTAGGAACACGCTTTTTTAAACATACTATGCTCTCAATTATTGGTTAAAATTTATTAGAAATTACAAAAGTATGAGTGAGATTCATTTAAGAGTGAGATTTGCATAATTTTTGTGTTTCTCAATACATTTTAGCCATTAATAAAAGATGTGTTGCTCACATTTTTCTTTCTTTAAACTCCTTCATAAGGATCACATATATCAAGGTTGTGTAGTTGCTTGCTTAATTTATGGTATGATGCTATGTGTTTGAGTGTGATCCTCAATGTAGTTTATGAAAAGAACATTTTACTTGACAATTTGTTGTGCTGTCTAACTATTAATGTATGATGCAATGATAGCTGAATAGAACGGCCTTATGATAATGTGAAGTTCACTGCTTGGTAATTTGCATATTGTGCATGTGCTTTCTAGGCCATGAAACTTGATGTGCCAATAAAAAATGGTTAAGATTGAAATAAACCATTGGTACGAGTGGAGTGACTGATGAAGTGAAATATTTTTCTCCTTTACTTAAGAATCACTTATATTTGACGTGTTGCAGATCATCATGGGCCGCCAAAGGTGAACTTCTGGGAGGACCCATTGAGTCCAGCTAAGTGGAAAGAAGAACATGTGAGTCGCTTTAGGATTTTAGAAGCCCTATCATATGCTAGTTTTCCATATTTACCTCATTTTGATGCTGACTGCTGAGTCATTCTGGTGCTGACTATAATATTCTGGTGCAATTGTATCTTCTTACTAATACTGAACTGTTTTATGAGAAAGACTTGTGACTGAAACCAGTCTCTCTTTACGAGTTAATGTTGACATTGAAATTCATGGGTAATTACCTCAGTACCTCCTGACAACAGCACACATACACACTCCTGATATAAATCTTCATGCAGACATGGCGATACACTCACAAGCACATTCTAGTATTTCAAGTTATGTCAAAAAGCTGATATTCCATTGAACTACTGGCAAGGAAGATGGATGAACAATGCCACTTATGAATATTTTGATCAACTTGTGACTTCAAAAATTTTACTGTGTCTTCTGTTGTTGCAGTTTGTGATTGTTTCTTTGACTGGATGGGGTATACTAGGCTATAGCGGTTACAAGTTCTTTACTAGAGGCAAGGACAAGAATGAAGAGGTACCTAACTTCATCTTTATAGGATATTTGGTATGAGTTATAGGGCTGCTTCTTACACTCTGGATTAGCAGGGGATTTGCACTGCCTTCTTCTCATGATTTTACTTAATATAGCTCATTCTTGTCAGATTTTATATGTTTACTATAGTAAGCAATAGCAGGAGCCAAGGTAGCTTTTTGCTTTCTACATCCAAATCTACAATTTTTTAAACTGAATTTGATTTTTTCATTCTGTTCATTCACCGCTAATCAAGATGTCCTTGTATTCGTTAGGTTCTACTAATATATAAAATGTGAGGGGCTTGAAAAGACTCCATGCATATGCTATTCATGTGTCATTCGCAAATTTTATTTTTGAATATTATTTGTGCATTGTAATTACTTGTTTTGTTGATTGTAGATGACATTTTTGCAACTTAAAATAGGAACACTTTCTTACATATTCTAGTTTGCCGTGTCTTGCTGCACTGCAGAAAGTTGGAGCATCAAACAAGGCTTGAAGTTGTTAAACATCTGCTAAGAAGTTGCCCTACTTGACTTTAGCCCTCTTGATTGTGATGTCTATCTTTGGAGCGAGACCAGTTTTAGTAGCTTCTGATATGAATTTTCATGCTCATGCGTATCACGTGTAGCTGGCCTCACTTAGTTCAATAATGCTTAGTTGTTGATGTTGTATTTATAGCACATGAATTTTTGTCTGGTAAATTGATAATAAATTCAAGCACTTTGTGTGATACAAGCATGCCAGCTGATTTATGTGCCCTCCAAATTCAAATTTTTAACTTGTTTCTCCCCGACTTGAGTTGTGATATGATTCTATTTCCTAATTAAGAAATAGCCCAGCACCCATTTTTGGCTCCTGAATTGAGTTATGAACCACGGATACAAATGACTAGGAGTACATAGTATATAACATAATAAAATATAAGAATGATTATCAAGATTTGATATATATTCATGTCTTGTGATAGTAAGTCCCGCAAAAACATATTGAGAGAAATTATTTTCTTAACACTTTTACATTACATTTTATGCTGACATTTCTAGATGTTTAAAAATATGTAAATATTTTTAGTAATATTAAAATGATCATCCATATGAAGGTGTTGGTTTGTTTGTGTTCAAGTCATTAAAAAATAATTGTGTAAACACATAATGAAAAGTGTTGGAGTGGTGTTCGTTAGTAATGTATCTAACATTCTGACACCTCTGGCGAGAAGAAATACCACTGTATCATAGGACGAGTTGTTAACTTTTCAATCCTCGTATTATTATAGATAGAATCAAAAAGTAAAAGCTTAAGTATCTTGACATGAAATTCATTGACATACAAGTTTGTGATTATTGAAAATAGACCTCCTTTTGTTCATGTTTTAAAGGCATTGCACCTAGATTGTTAATGTGACCACTTCCAGAACAAGGGTATATACTCGTATGTGCATATATTTCTTAATTATCAAGTTTTGTTATTTACGTACATTAATGTTCTATCAGAAAGAATCAATACGGTTTTTGGCGTCGACATAATTTGATTTCTTTTTCTTGACACTTCTTTTTGTCACACGTTTGTGCTAATGGTGTGTGAATTAGCATATTTTATTTTGTATTTTGCTTATAAAGACTATTTTATGCAAAAAGTTAAACAATATTGAAATGCCACTATGGTTACTAAAAGTGGTACAGAACTAATATGATATATACTCGAAACTCAGGTGTTAAAAAAATCAAAACATCACCGTTATCAGGATTGTTAAGCAAAATGTGTTTACATATACTACCACGTCTTGTCACAAACAATAGGGACAAAGTAATTATATGATTCATTTAATAATTTTTTTAAATCAGCATAAATGATGGAATCACTTCAATTGTAAAACAAATAAAAAATTATGTATCATGAATTACTAACTAAATCAATTTACAGTGATTGCATCATTGAAGTTCTCTGTCATTTTCTATCCCGGATAACTATTTATCGTTTCCTTATTTTCAGTCCATTTTTATTATTCAAACTATTAAGTAAATTGAAGTAAATATTGAGATTATGTATCATTTTATTTCCAAGTCCAGAAAATGGGTTATAGATAATAGAAAAAAGTTGTTAGCGATGCGTTGAAATGAAGCATCCTTTATTCTACCTAAACTTCTTAACAGGAAAAAAATTGAAGCGTTACCAAAATAATAGAGGTGTGACCTGAGAAACATCACTGTCAAAACTTATATTACAATTGCAATGTTGCTCAGCTCACCACACTCCTCTCCTCTCTAGAATGTGTCTTACTCACCATCACACTCTTCTCTCTTGAGTCTTGAAAGTCCTTCATCCATTGGATCTTCAGTACAACGGAAAATGCAAGTCATAGTAGTCGCCTATTCTTTAACGGAATAAGATTCGTCTTCAGCATAATCATCCTGAAAATCTAATCCGAAATTCAGAGTGGTACTTATTTAGTGGCCAAAGAGAACAATTATCAGAACCAAAACACCCAGCATATTAATTTCATATGAGATTATCAATTTTTCAGATTATGTATCAAGTATCCTGAAACTTTAGTTTCATTTACTAAGACTAAGGCATTGTTTCAAGACTGAGACTGATAGCATCGTGTGATCCAATGGTATAAATTCCAAATGTTCTTTTGTAAAAGTGGATATAGTGCACAGGAAACATCTAAGAGTTGTTTTCTATCTTCATGTGAATGTTAAACATTACCTGGTAAATTGCAATTTACTAGAAGAGTTGGTTAAACCATACACATGCCAGAAAGGTGGGGAAAAGACATAAAGATCAAGATTGGTAGGTTTAACTAACTGAATTCAACTCAATTTCATAGTTACATCACACGTACCAATGTGTTATAGCTGTGAAGACTCAATCTGCATCTTTAATTTCTGCTTCAACATCAATTGCTTTGCCAGAATCTTTTTCTGCCACAACAGCATGTGACATCATCAATGAAGATTAAGGGCAATAAAGGGAGGGGGGAGGTAGGGGAGGAAGTTGCATTTAAACAAAATGTGTTTTTAAGGGTCAAAGGCAACTAGCCTTGTGAAGATTACCATTTCTAGAACGGGAGAAATTATTGAATGCTTGTCCAAATGTTGTAGATTGGTTTGAAAACTTCACTGAGTCCTTCACAAACTCATTGCCAACAACTGATATCATAATAAACTTCTTCAACAGCAAGCACATTGTGATTTTCTTAGTGACATAGTGCTGAATAATAAGAAAGTGAATGATATAAAGCACTCTAATTTACTACTTTCAGAATACCACATGGAACACTAAAGCATCATATATATTGGTGGTGAGCATTTTTATGAATCAAAAGGGGTTATCTCATGGAAAGGACCATCTTTATTTCTTAGGAAATTAAATCCATCAGAACAATAAAAGATAAATAACTAAAATGACATATTAGTTGATAGTTAGAAACATAATATCAATTAGTCATTCATCTTATTTTAGGGTGGTATGTTTCCTGCAACTTGTAGATATGCTTTTGACCAAAATACTGAGCTAAATGAAAAAATTTACACTAGCAAAATAATTTACCACAAGAAATGCTTTCACATCGTTTAAAACAAAAGAAAAAGTATGATTTCCCTTCAGTAGAAGAAATCCAAGCAGCTAAATTGTACTTCAGATGTCAGACCAGAATAATAGACAAGAAGCAACGATCAGAACTAATACACAATCAATCAGTTAAAGGGTTAATTGTTTACAGACCAAGATATATAAGAAGACACATAAATAACTAACAAAGGAATGGAGAAAGTAAAACTATCTAGAACATCTAAAGAGAGTGAGATGTGGCAAATAGATCAATTAAATGAATCATATAATGTATAATTATAGCAAATGGTATCAATAAAACATACTCATTATCACACATGGCATCCTATCAAGTCTCAACCTTTGCTTAGACAGGAACTGAGAATAGTAACAGGTTTAGCAAGTAACAGTATGTTCAGTCAGGTGTTGCTCAGAAACAAAGGAAGTTCCAAACATGCTTTAAAAGTCAACATTTGTAGAATGTTCATTAATAGCATTGGCTAAAAATCTGTAGTAAAACTTGCGCCACTTAATTTTCTAATCAAAGCTAGAAATAATTCAGTGTAATACTGACAGAACATGACAGGAAGAATCTTAAAGACAGAGAAGCAGAATAATCCACTCTTACCAGAAAAAGGTTGACCACAAAAAGGGCACAGCTGCAAATCATCATTTAGAGAGGACCTGAAATAGATATGCAGACATTTATAGAAAAGGTGAATCGTTCAATTAATTCAAAATAAATCACCTATAAGTAGCTTAACAAGATGTATCAAACATATCTTACTTGAAAACCTGAAAATCATTACCACAATTTGGACACTGCATATACAACACACAAACACCCAGTCAGTACAGTTACTACAAGTCACCTAAAAATAAATGGAGAGCATAAAATTGAGAAATTTATATTAACATAATAAAATGGCTATTTTCATAAAAAATAACTGCAATATTTCACTTTTCTCCTTAAATTTTCTCAAAAATAAATTTCTGTACAAATTCCTCAATTGATGAAAATTGATTTCATGCTTAAACATGGAAGTAAAAGCAATAAAATAAAGCAACGGTAAGCAATATATCTCTTAATTTAGCAAGTACAAGTTAGAAGAACAAAAAGTTTCAGAGTTAAGTTTTAAAGAACCCTCACCGTGCCTTGCATTATATCTCGTCCTGCCCACCAAAGGAAAGCACCAAGGCCCACTATTGGTATTAACACTGCAAAGATCTGCAATGAAAAAGAATAAAAAGAAAAGTAAAATCAGTAAGATGATCAACTTACATTCACTAATTTTGGAGGAATAAGTTTACTAGAAGACATTAAGGACCACCACCAAGGGACAAAAGGACAATTCCTTGAAAAAGTAATTTACAATGAACAAAAAGAAATAAGAAAAAAGACATGATGTAAAAGCAGGCAACAAGAGTTTATCCCCACGTCCCTGGACGAGGTAGCATGGACTTGTAATGGAGCACAAAGTTTGCACTCACAAGTGGAAACCTATTTAAACATTTTGGCGTCAAAAGTTATAAGAACCGAGAAGAGTAATTACTAAAATAATCTTTAGAGCTTTTTACAAACTCAGAAGGAGTGTAAAGAAGCTACGCGTAGTGTAAAAAGGTTCTACTTAGAAAACCAATTTGATTGACTCTGACATAATAAGTTATATAATTAATTGATTAAGTACTCTCATAGTCATATTTGGTTCCACTATTAATGTGTCTTCATTCTATCTTCTTGTTTTCTTCATCTAAGATGGTGTACTAAGTGAATTTCATGTATAGTAAAATCCCCATACATGGCATGATGATAGTAAGAGACAAAATATGTAAATCACTCGGCACAGAAAGATGGATAATTCAAAAACAAGATGGAATAGAACTATAAAAGAATATAGCATATACAGAACCATTAATGTGCACTTCCCATGTATAAAGAAAACTATATGCTGATTAAGCTAAATATGACCCCAATTAAAGCAAAGCAAGGAAAAGAATAGTACCCAAATGGAAACAATAGCATCCAAAATCCAACCAAGTTGTCCAGTCATGGAGAGATAAGTTAATCCAATAGCTAAAGCAATATTTCCTAAAAGCCTAGCAGTGGCACCATCTCTTCCACCACCACCACCACCGTTGAAGCCAAACCCCTCATTATTCTTCACCAAAACCCCTCTGTTTCCCCTCTTGCAACCCTTCTCTTCCAACAAAACCCCATTTTTAAACACTGTACCTCCCAAGAAGGACCATCTCTCCCTGCATGCTCTCAGTTTAAAGCTATTCTGATTAAAAGAAGCAAACTTTGTTTCTAACTGAGAAAAAGAGAAAGTGGGTCGCTTGTATATGCCATCATGGAAGAAGTTGGGTTTCAAGTGTGAAAATTTGATGGAAAATTGCACGAGTGTGGTCATGGGAAACACGAGAAAGGAAATCTAGTGTAATGGACTAAGAAAGGGTTAAGACATGGCCACTAGAACCTTATGGATGATTAGATATTATTCAGTTTCAAGTCTAAACTCTCAATTGAGTTGTATCAATCTTGGCTTTTCCTTCACACATTCTCTCTCCAAATCCAAAGAAGGTTGCCACGTTAGCTTCAAGTGACCCCTCCAAGCCTCCAACCACATTATCTTCTTTGGTTTTAATTTTTTATATTAAATTGAAGTCAAAACAGGTTAATTTTTTGTTTGATTTTAATAGTTAGTTTAAAAAAAATTAGTATCTTATTCCCGTGGATCATAAAGAATTGAAAATTTCATAGAAATAGTAATTGAAAATTGGAGATGTAAAATTATGTTAAATCTGTATGAAAGAGTAATTTATACAACTTTAGCAAAACAAAAAACAAAAAACAAAAAGTGCATCCGATTTCGGAGGTGTGAGAATTTAGCATTACAAGGGAGACATGTTCCTTAAGAGTATGTGTTTGCTTCTATTGAGACCAATAGATCAGTTTCCTTTGTTAAACCAAAAATAGCAACTTGGTATGATGTTCTAAGTTTTGAGACATGGTAAGTGAGGTTGCATAACGTGTTGATTAAATGGTGGAGCGAATGGAAGTTATTGTAACGATCAAAGTTATATGATGTTATAACTTTATTGTATTGATACAGAAATTCTAGGAAGAAGAAGAACTTCGAAGATTTCGGGTGATAGGGATATCAAAGAAAAAGAATGATATTCGAACTTTATTGATATTGGGATGAAAGATACAGAGAAGAATTCTTGGAGAATTTTATACAACATGCTGATTCAATTGAATCTCAGCTAACTACTATATAATGAAGGTAGCCGTGACTTTTCCCGACCACTTCCCCAAAAGACAGAAGTTAACTAACTATTAACAGTTTGCCAACTCAGCAACTAACTACTGTTAATTCACCCGATTACAACTTGCTAATCTAATTTTCCTGTATCAATTCCTCCTCCATAGCATAATCCTTGACCTCAAGGATTAAATTGAGGAAATTTCTGCTTGAGATCATAAAAGAACTCCCAAGTTGCATCCTCTGGAAGATGATGCTTCCACTTAACCAATACCTTAGTGACTGCTATTCCCTTCCTCTTAACTGTCATGCGATCCAAGATGACTTCAGGCTCCTTATCAATTGCACTGGACTCCACAGAAACAGGTAGATTAGACGAAACTACAGCTTGGCTAACATGTTTCTTAAGCTGAGAGACATGGAACACATTATGAATTTGTGACTGAGATGGCAATTTAAGCTTGTAAGCAACTGATCCTACTCGATCTTCAATAGGAAATGGACCATAATACTTGGGAGCCAATTTGGCATTGACCCTATTGCTCACAGAAATCTGCCTGTAAGATTGAAGCTTGATATATACAAGGTCACCAATGCTGAATTCCCTGTCAGTTCTATGCTTATCTGCTAGCTGTTTCATCCTGTCTTGTGCTCTTCTCATATGGAACTTGATCACCTTCAACATCTCTTCTTTTCTCTGCAAACTTCTATCCACTAGCTCCACTTGTGCACTTCCAGTCAAATAAGGATGATGGATTGGAGGAGGCTGATTGTACACAACTTCATAAGGAGAAGTTTAAATGGCACTATGGAAGCTTGTATTGTACCACCACTCAGCAAGTGGTAACCACCTAGACCATTGGCTAGGTCTTTCAGCACACATGCATCTCAAGTATGCTTCCAAGCATCTGTTCACCACCTCAGTCTGCCCATCGGTTTGAGGATGATAGGCTGTTAAGAGCTGCACTTGGACCCCTTGTAGTGCCATTAATTCCTGCCAAAACTTACTGACAAAGATTGGATCTCTATCACATGTAATGCTGTCAGGGAAGCCATGAAGTTTAAAGATATTGTCCAAGAATGATTGGGCCACCTCTGCAGCTGTATAAGGATGGGAAAGGCTTATAAAGTGTGCTGCCTTACTCAGTCTATCCACTACCACATATATCACCTGTTTTCCAAATGACATAGGCAACCCATCTATGAAATCCATAGTAATATGCTGCCACACATGGCCAGGGATAGGTAAAGGTTGAAGGAGGCCAGGATAAGCAGAAGTATCATGTTTACATTGTTGACAAACAGTACAAGCTTGAACAAAAGCCTTTACATCATTAGTAAGTCCTTTCCAATACACAACTGCTTTAACCCTTTTTAAAGTTGCATCTCTTCCAGAATGGCCACCAACCGCAGAGCTATGCAACCATTGTAGGATATCAGATCTCAACTGTAAATCCTTCCCTATTACCAATTTACCTTTTCTTTTGAGTTCACCCCTCTGCCACAGATAACGCTGATGCCTAGCAGCATTGGTTTCCAGCTCTTGAATCAATTTGACAATTGCAGGATCAGCAGACCAAGACTCCTTAATCCTAGCCAATAATTCTGAAGCAGGTTGCATTGTCACTACAACATTACAAAAGATCTCTTCCCTCCTTGAAAGAGCATCCGCAACAACATTTTCCTTACCTTGTCGATACTCTATGTCAAAATCAAACTCCATCAACTTGACTAACCATTTCTGCTGAAAAGAGGTAGTCCATCTCTGATCTAATATGAATTTCAAGCTCCTATGATCAGTTCTTATAGTGAACTTCTTGGCCAGTAAGTAATGTCTCCATTTCTGGACGGAAAACACCACAGCAAGAAGTTCCTTTTCATATGTAGAGAAAGATTGTTGTTGCTTGTTCAGGGATCTACTTATGAATGCTAGAGGGTGATGTTCCTGCATGAGCACAGCCCCTAATCCAGACCCACTAGCATCAACCTCCACCACAAATGTCTTGTTAAAGTCAGGCAAAGCAAGAACTGGAGCCTTAATCAAGCTGTCCTTAAGCTTTTGAAAAGCATCCTTCGCTGCTTGAGACCAAGCAAAACTGTCCTTTTTCAGCATATCAGTGAGTGGTCTGGAAAGAATCCCATAATGCCTTACAAATCTTCTGTAGTATCCAGCCAAACCTAGAAACCCTCTCAGCTGCTTCAAGGTTTGGGGCCAAGGCCATTGCTGTACTGCTTGGATTTTTGCCGGATCTGTAGCTACACCGTCCTTGGAGATAAAATGCCCTAGATACTCCACTCTGTCCACACCAAAGTAACATTTGGATCTCCTAGCAAACAAAGACTCCTTTCTCATGGTTAATAACACCTGTTCAAGATGCTGCAAATGGTCTGCCAAACACCTGCTGTAAATTAAAATATCATCAAAAAACACAAGTAAGAATCTCCTTAAAAAGTCCTTAAACACCTCATTCATCAATCCTTGAAAGGTTGCAGGGGCATTAGTTAGCCCGAATGGCATCACTAAGTATTCAAAATGCCCTCCATGGGTTCTAAATGCAGTCTTGTACACATCATCCTCATCCATCCTAACCTGGTTATAACCAGATCTTAGATCAATTTTAGAGAAGATTGAGGAACCATACAGCTCATCTAAAAGATCATCCACCAATGGGATAGGAAATCTATTCTTTATGGTAGACTTGTTCAGCTCTCTATAATCAACACACAGTCTCCATGAACCATCCTTCTTGCCTACCAACACCACAGGACTGGCAAATGGACTGCTGCTTTGTTGAATAATGCCGGAAGCCAAGTATTCCTTCACCAGTCCATCAATAATGTCTTTTTGCGGCTTTGCATACCTGTAAGGTCTTTTGTTAACTGGATTAGTGCCTTGAAGCAATGGAATCTTATGGTCATGACCCTGTCTTTTTGGAGGTAAACTAGTAGGTTCTTTGAATAGGTCTTCAAATTTCAGTAACAAAGCAGCTACCGCAGGGTCGACTGAATGTTCAGAAGTATGACTTGTAAGGGAGTGCAGCAATCTTTCCTCATTGTCACTAAGATGCAGCATAGAAAAATGGGCCCCTTCCTGTAAGGCCTTAGTCATATGGTGTCTTCTAATTGTTTTCACATTTACTGAAGTAGTTCCTCTTAATACATGTTTCCTGCCTTGGAAGAAAAATTGCATAGACAATTTGTTGAAATTCCATGTAATATCACCAAGTGTTACCAGCCACTCCACTCCCAAAACTAGATCACAACAGCCCAGAGGAATCAACATAATATCACAGCTAAACTGAGTGTTTTGTAATGACCAAACAAAATTCTTTACCATGGAATCAATCAGCACCCGAGTGCCATCAGCAACAGACACATTAACAGGATCCATTTTCACAATTCTACAACCTAATTTCTTAGCAACTTCCACATCTAAGAAATTATGTGTGCTACCACTATCAATTAGCAAATGCAGAGGTTTTTTCCCAAAATATCCTGTCACTCTCATTGTTCTGAAATTAGCTATACCAGTCATAGCGTTAACAGAAATTAAGGGATTACCATCCTCCAAGTTTGCTGCCTCAAGGTTACGAGAATCAGCCTCCACTGGAGCCTCATCATCAGTCACCTCAATCACATGTATCTGAAGCTTTTTATGAGTCTGAGCATGTGCAGTAGAGAAGGGTTCATCACAGAAGTAGCATAACCCCTTTGCCCTTCTGTCATTCATATACGCAGGACTAAGCCTATTGGTGGTTTGTGTTTGGTTTTTATTGGCGGCCTGTGTTTGAGGTCCAGGAGTGGAAAGCAGGGGTTCAGAATTTTTGTCAAGTTTGGATGAAGGAAAGGTTTGGGAAGAGGTTGGTTTGGTGGGCTTTGGGAAGGTCTTGGTAACACTAGAATTGGTATTGGCAGATTCATACATCTTGGCTAAGGAGAAGGCTTTCGTCACTGAACTGGGTTGGAACATTCGCACCATCATTTGTACATCATGACGCAAACCTCCCAAGAAACAGCTTAGTTGATTAACCTCCGAAAGTTCCACTTGAGAAACTAGTTGATCAAAAGTTTCATGGTAGTCTTGAACAGAACCTTTTTGTCTTAACTTCATCAACTCAGCCATAGGATCCTCACATACATCACCAAAACGAGCAATTAGGATCTTGGTGTACTCACTCCAAGATGGAAGATTCAATAAACCCACATTCTTGACATAGGCACTGTGCCATTGCAGG